ATATATATATATATAATAAATCCACATCCGATCTAATTATTAATCAAATACAAGTTCTAACATCTATATTTGGGGAATTGAATTTGAAGTCGAACTGGATATAAACCTTTAGACTCCATTGACAGCCCTAAATCCAGTAGAGCTCATGGCTAATGTAAGAAAGGTTCAAGTCTAGGTCTAAATACGGGCCCAAAATTAAGTTGGGATTAGCTCTGGCAATCTAGACTTAGGATGAAGAAGGCTTTAAGAAAAAGGCTTTAAAGCCCTTCTGGGATATAGTTTTATTTGAGAGATTTAGATCCACCACAAAGACTTTTATTATTTTTTAGTTTTATTTATCAACGCCTCCACATATGATTCGCTACCCCCATTCATTCTCCGACCTATCACCATTCCAAATATACAAATTGTACTTCTTCTATGAGGCAATTTCTGTGCAGTTGATTGCTTTTTTTTCATTAGAGTGGGCTCAGAGTAGACAAGTGATGACCAACCCGAATGGACATTTATTTATGTTATATATATATGCATTGATATTAGATATTACACATTACTCGAAATTAAGGGATGATGAAAACAGGGTGCGTATAAGGTCCGCTGACCTTACAAGGGAGAGCCCTAAAGCGGGATGCCAAGTGATCATCTGGGATACGAATTTGGGTTAGCTGAACACCCGTAGCTGTTGAGCGGGGTGTGGTACCAATTACAAGAGTCCACAATAGTTTTACATGAGATGACTATAACCACGTGTAAATCGCTTTTGATGGGAATGGCTTGAATGTTTGTTTGTTTTTTTTTTTCTTGCTTTTTTAACTTTTCTCTTTGTGCCGTTCCTCTCCCCTCTCTCTCCCGCCTCTAACCTCTGCTCCCCTGTTAGTGGAGTTACTGAAGGTGACCGGCATGAAGAACTAGAAGGTGGAAATAGAGGAGAAAGGGGAGAAGAGGGTTATGACAATAAATAGATCTCTACTATTTAAAAAGTATCTCAAGAATATTTTTGTAATTTTTTAAGGACAAAATTTATTCTTTAATATTTAAATTTATTGATAAAAAATGAGGGCAAATAGGGTAATCGATTATTGATATTAAATGAGTTGAAAATAAGTAATTTTAAGATAATCAATGCATTTAAATCTCTCTTTAAATCTCAATTTAACGTATTAACTTGCATTCATCTTCACTGAATCATATATTTAAGACATTTTCGTTTCTTCTCATAATTAAATCCATATATAATAAATTAATAATTCCAATAACATAAAAAACTTATACTTTTAAAATCTACCTAGAAAAAATAGTGTTTT